TTGCTTTCTCTCTCTCTCTGTCTCTCTGGCAAGTACACATGCCCTATAACAAAAATCTCTCAAAAATTAAATAATAATAATAATAATAAAAGAATACCAAGAAGAACATGGTAGAACAAGAACCTGAGATGATGACAAGCTGTCCTTTTAAACCAGGCCCGGGGCTGCAGAAGACAGACGGCTTCTGCTTTTTACAACACTTGCTCCCCTTTCTGTTAAATTTTGCCAGAGAGTGTTGGACTCCACTGGAGAAAGACCAAGAGAGAGAGAAATTGAGAAAGCACCCCTTCCCCCCAGAAAGCATGGTCATGCCACAATCCCTTCTCCTTACCTCTCCCTCTTTTCAGGATTTTGGGTATGCACACACACGTGTCTGTTGTTTTGCTTTGTTTTGTTTTTTTCAAGCTGCCAGATCTGGGACTCGAACCATAGTCAGCCATGTGGGATCCAGCCACCTTAACCAGCAAGCCACAAGCTGCCCCAACAATAAGCCTTCTTATATTTTGAAAAAATTATGTGCATGTATCCTTGACAAATTTTATACATCTTTCACCACTGTAGACTATGTAATAACAAAGAAAGATAGGAGTTTATTACCACTAAGTGAAAATGAAGGTTAGAAAATAGTAGATATTGTCAGATTCTGTCTTTTGTAGGAAAAACAGAAGCAAAAAAAAAAGACAAAAAACCTGAGGGATGTATCATAAAATGCTAAAAAGTGGGATCCCTGGTAGGATTATAGGCCATTTTTTTTTTCCCTTCGCACTTGTCATCATTTTCAGATTTTATAGTAAGTTATACAATGTGAAAGACGTCAGTGAGAGGAAAGAAGAAAAGAAATGAACACAACCTCCAATCCACTGGGTACTGTTTGTGCTTTGAGTAACTAATGGGTTCGGAAATTATTTTAAAAACTCTAAGCAGCTGATGCAAACAGGAAAAAAAAAAAAAAAAGCGAAAAGCAGGCATCATGAGCAGCCTCAGGCCTATCTGAACCGATCAGTGGATTATGACCCTGCAAACAAAAACAGACTCATCGAGCTGAAGAAGCAGACGGTGCGACATGCCAACAAAGCAGTTGTGAGGATGACTTCATGAGTGTTCATGTGTCGAGTGTTCTTACATACCCCCAGCCTGGGTCCACAGAGGGTGAGGAAACGCAAAGAAAAGAAAGTAATAAAACATAAACATTCAAATCAGGAATGGAAGAAAAACTAAATCTGAAGAAAAATATCTAAACCAGAAAGGAAAGAAAAAGTCACATAAGCAGGTCATAGGTCTTTACCTAGAACTCCTAGAAATGGCTGCAACTTGACCTTGAGCCTCCCAGTGGCCAAAGAGAAACTGGAAGTGAAGTTAACATTGTCCTCACTGTCCCAGAGGAAGTCACACATATCAGCTTTCTACCTGGCAGCTAAAGCTGAAGGAAGCCCTCAGGTGGGGTTTTCTAGCAAACCTGCTGAGACGGGATGGATGCATCTTGCCAGTCAACAGGATGACAGGGGTCCCAGGGCCACTCTTCACAAAGTCTCCCAGTAAGGGAGGTGCTAACACAAGGGGACCAGTGGAGTTTACGGGGAACACATGTAGCTCTATAGCTGTGAGTCTCATTCTGGAAGCAGAAGTAGGGGTTGTTGGCCCAGACTTGGGATGTGATTGGTGGCAAAGTGAACTGCAGTGCTGGAAGCCATAAGGCCGACCATGGGTTTGGATTCCTGGTCATCTTTAAAACACTCCAGGCGGGGACCAGCAGTTAGCGTAATGGCTATGTCACTGGACTCCCATGTAGTCAGCCACGGTTCAAATCCCAGACCTGGTGGCTTAAACTCAACACTGGGCGCATATGCGTAGTCAAGATCCCAAGAGGAGAATGGAGGAGAAGGGATTGCAGCATGGCCATCCCCCCAAGGGGTTGATTTCTCACTTTCTGTCTCTCTCTTTCTTTCTGGTATACGTACACGCCCTGTGGCAAAAACCTCTCCAAAATAAATAAATAAATAAAACACTCCAGGCGCATGCAGGATCCTGACAAGCCAGAGGATCAGAGAGTACCCTCTGGAAGTTAAAAAGAAAAAAAAAAAAAGGAGCTGGGGTGGGAACCCAGCTCAAGAAGATGATCTATAAAGTGCAGAATCCAACAAAATCATCTAGATCGTGGAAACCCCAGATCCAGGGCCTGCCCCAAGGGATTCTGATGCTGCTGGTCTAGGATGGACCTGAGAATGTGCTTCAAC